GCCACAGCAGTACTGAGCGAGGAACAGGTTATTAAAAATGAGCAATCCCTGCAGAAAGAAAACACCTAATCCGAGCAGGATTTGTTTTTTAACATATGCATATATAAAAAAACACATTAGAAAAACAAAAATTGTGCTCTGCCCATTTTAGCGATGGAATTTCATTACTCTGTAGATATTTACTGAAAAAGATACTAATACTTGCAACATTAATTCTTATTTGATTATTGTATTCACGTCTTGTTCTGGCGCTGAACTGGCTACGTTCATTTTTGTACACCACAAGTTTCTCTGAACAATGAAGCAGTGCAGCGTACACAGGGATATCTATGTGCAGCCAGCATATTTTATTTTATATCAAATATCAAGATGGCCATTTCCACGTCTTGTGGGTATCCCTACCAGTACCACCGCGCAGAAGGGGTTTGAGTTGCACCTCAGAGGGACTCACACGGAAGAAGTGCAGCTTCACACCTGAAGCAAAACATGGGTCACTATGCACTGAAAATGAATTTCCTCCTTATTCTGAAGTGATGTCATCTGTTGGGTGGAAATGTGACTACTGCAGCGCAACATCTACCCTCAGTTTCGTCAGGTCCCTCCAGCAGCAAAGCCGCAGGACAACCTACGGGATGGGAGCGGGTCTGGACCAAAGGTCCCGTCGGCTGAATCGGGTACGGAACGCAAACAGCTTCCCTCCGTGGTGCAGTGCCCCCGCTGAAGGCCAGTTCCAACCCTGCTGCCCACCCGAGGCCCCGAGCTGTTAACACTCACGGCAGTTCCCACACTTAAGGAGAAGGACTGTCCCCCGCAGAACGCGCTGCCACAGACCCCACACTGAACCTCCTGGGGTGTGGTGGGGTTGTTCTTCTCCTCCAGTGCGCAGACATACTTAAACTGGGAGCTGGCACTGGACACGCAGTTAGGCAGTCGGGTAGCAGATCAGACTAAGAGGGATGCTATTGCATTTTTTTTTAAGAATAAACTGCAAAACTGAAGCAAATGAATGAAACTTGTAGGGTGTCCTAATCTCAAGTTTTTCCACTGACTATTTTTTTTTTAAATAGAGGGCTATAAACTGGCTTCCACTTGAGTACAAAATACTTAATAAATGCCTCTACCTTTATAGGCGAAATACAAAATGACAAAAGAAAGGGAAGGAATAAGACCCAAGCATTCTGAGGATGAAAATACCCTGCTATGAACACCCCCAGTATCTTTAAGATGTGGGGAAAAGGGGGTGTCCTTTGGAGCACGCCCTTTGGAGCACAGACCATATTTCTTTGTGTTTGTGGAGCGCCTGGCTTTTAGAAAGACAAAGTTGTAAGCCAAGTTTCCTAGTAATCTAGAATAAAGAGCTTTACAAGACCTTCAAATACCTTGTCTGTGAAAACATTACACGTATTATTATTTACACTGCAGTAAGCTATGATCAAAACTGTTTATCCTGGATCTGCCAACGAAGTCCTTGTGTTGGCAAAAAAAAAAACCCTTGATAAATGTAAGTGGGTATCTAAACCGACCTATTTATTGCAAATAGATACCTATATAAAAAAAAAAATGTTTTGACAAACGTAATTTCCCTTTTCTGGTATAGGAGACCAAGCACAATGAAAATTATTTGTAAAAGTTTTAAATCACCATCCTAAAGAGGTTATTAAATATTATTTTAAATCGCAGTAGGAATTGGATTGCTCTGCTGACTTTGACTGTTTTTTTGCAGAATAATTTTAGTTAACAGAGTTGAAAGAACAAGTTTAAAGAAACTAACTTCATCCAGTTAAAAAACTTTGATTATCATAGAGCCTTTAAATTTAAGCTTCATTGACTACAATATGATAATCTTTTTTCTATCAAAAGGCAAATTAAAATATTCTGCTTATAATCCTTTTTGCTATTTCAACTGCTCGTAAGATTTCTCGCACTGGCAGTCTACTTTGGTTGGAATAAGACATTTCTGCCCATACAATAAATTATTTGTAATGTGCCAAAATTTGTCACCACAGCTAATGTAAACAAAAACCTACCACCATCCATAACAGCAGAATGGATTTATTATTTAGTCATTGTTCTAGTCAATCCACGTTGCTGTGCAGGGGCTACAAGAAGTCAATAGATGGCAGTCCATCGCTTAGGAAAGATCCAGATAATGAATAAAGTAACCAAAAGCTTCACAAAAGAGAAAGGTGGAAGGCTGTGTGGTTTTTCACAAGTATTCACAGTAATTAACTAAGAATACTTTATATAATGCAAAACATTCAGACAAACTTTCTAATGGCTGTCTGCAAGCAACATTATAAAAACGGTCTTTATTACAAACCTGAATGCCTTATTTTATTTGTGCTTATATGTACCTGCATGTGTGACACTCGTCATCAATTTACCAGAATGAATTTAAATCTAGTGGTTATACCCATGGCTAAAGTACAGGAAAACCTCACTGTAGCCTTAGTCTGTTTGTTGATAATCAGGCAGACTCTGAAGCACAGCAACAACCACAATAGTACTTTTTAAAAAAACTTTTGTTATTTTTCTTTAAACAGTTATCCTGTTTGTACAAAAATATTTATTCTAAACTAGCAAAATTAGAAACTAATTTCTATAGTAGAATACTACTATGCTGATATGAGAGCAAAAGATCTCAACTTTTTATTTACAACTCTATAAATAGATATATACATTATTCTAACATAGAAGTTTTGATTCTTGTGAGAACATTATTTGCTTCTGTTCTGCTTTGGGTGCAAAAGAGAGTATTTAAATGGAATAATAAAAGTTGGGACTCACACGTTTAAACAACTCAGATAATGCAGTTTCTGGAGGTATTAACTTCTTCTAAATATCAAACATGTCTTTTACCACAGAAATTTTTAAATTCCAGGCTTAATCTGACTACTAATGTAACTTGGAGTCAAAGTGAGTCCTCCCACACAAAAAAATGGAGATGTGCAAAACATTTCCCATGTATAAGAAATGTGGATTACTTGCAGATAATTTGCAGTCCACTGCAAAATAAAAAAATATTTATCAGTAGCTAAGGTGTGACTCAATGTCAATATATCTTTGTGTGCCCATATTTGACCACATTTCAAAATGTCCCTCAAATGCACTAAGAATTTCCAAATAGGTACTTTTAATAATGCACTTGTATTCGTAACTACTAGATTTTCTAACAAGAGCTTGTTTTGACAAATGTTGTTAGCTTTATACTAAGTAAAGTGTAAACTCCAAACACATTCTACAAAAGTCACAGACAAAATTTTCTACCCCAGATATCTCAATTTCTGCCCTAGTAACCACTTGGTCAGGTTTAAGCTCCCCCCTCACTTTTTTAGAAAAATAAATGTTTTCTAAGTGTTGATTGCAACTCAGTTGCTGAGGAATTTTCAATGGCAAGCAATATTAAAGTTAAATTAAATCTTATAACTCAGTAAAAAACAGAATCCAACATATTACTAAATCTAATATACCTACCTGATTATTAGAGTCCAAATATCATAAAGATTTCAGAAATAATTTTTACATGCATCCTTAGGGATTATAATGAAAGACAGTATTTACCTTTTTCCATCATGCAATTTTAAAAAAGCAAACAAAAATACTCAGCAAGTGCACCTTTTGCTCATAATGTTTTTTTTAAAGTCTATACCAGTTCTGTTTAAAATAAAAGTAAATGCTCAGAAAGGGTAGAGGATTTCCAAAGCAGATCTTTGTTTTAAAATCATTATGCAGAAAACAGAAGCAAGAGGTTTTAAGCACAGATTTGTCCTATTCATTGAATTTAGAAGCTAAAACATTTTAGAAGCTAAAACAGTTTTAAGCACAGATTTGTCCTATTCATTGAATTTAGAAGCTAAAACAGAAAAAAGAGCATTCCACTACCATGAAGGGGTGGAAGCAAGAAATCATATATGAAGTACATCCCATTTATTGCTCAAAAGAAAAAGCCCACACCAAAGACCCATAAAGAAAAGTGGTGGACAAACTTTTCTACCTTGTTTTGAACACCCAGCAGTGATTAATTATCTATAACAGTTAAACACATACAACGTTGATCTCGACAGCAGTGACAGCAAAGATTCAGATGAACAGCAAAAATCCTGATCTTTAAAGGCATCTTTATGTATAATAATTTCATAAATTAATATATTCAAGATTTGTGATACTAATCTACTGAATATTGTCTTAACCAGTTAAATACTGTTCCAATATTAGCCAAATTCATATGCTTTTTTTAAATTTTTATCTTATTTTATATATGAGGAAAAACCGTAAGAAATACATGGTACAGTTCACAAAGTTTTATTTTCTAGTTTCAATTATTAAAGATCAACTAATGCAGGCCAAAGAAGAAGTTATAGGTATATCCTTACCAATTGGAAATTATCTGCCAAAGTTTATAAAGTGTATTTGCTCAAATTAACATCTCCACTCCAGCTCAGATTTATTTTACTCATTTAAAAAGAAAGCTTTGTGACACACAGTGATTAATTACCAGCATCTGGGATATCTGAGATGAGATTATTGCTTCTGCTATGCAACTCAGCTTAAAATTTAACCTTCTTTATAGGGGTAAATTTAGTCACTGAGAGGAGGGAGTGCTGCAAGGCACTCATTTACTGGTTACAGTATTAAAACAAAATCATAAGTTCTAAAGATATTGAAAATATAGTGACAGTGTTTCATTGCATTTATCAGTTCAAAAACTCTTCAGATGTTTATTATCTTCTTGCAGAAAATGCTTGTCTATATTTTATGGTCAGCAGTTCACAGAAGAGTAAATAGGTTGGGTGTAGAAGAAAATAAAAAAGGTGTTTCTACTTACTGTTAGGTGATACTGCCTCCATATTTCTGGGCAAGCCTGGAAAATAAAAATATTGATCAGCTAGGAGCATGAAACAAGGTGCTTTACAGCCTGTTGGTTTTGGCATAACACAGTATCCACCGGTGTCGGTCACAGGAAAATAAGAAGCTTAACTGAAAGGGTCTGCATTTCAGCTTCAAAAACCTGGCTAGACAGTTTAATTGAATTTTACACTGGTTTAACACACTCCCTGCCATTGTCAGAAAGCCAGTAACAGTTTTCTCTTTCCCCTTCTTCTCTGAAGGTTAGAAGTTTGGAAGAGTAACGTGTTCTTAACTGTCACAAGTATTAATACTGCAAAACAAACAGAAATGAATTTAAATTCTACATTTTCTGACATTTTACATTTACATAATGTTTTGGAAATTAAATCACAAAGTACCTTCCTTTCATGCAGAAATAAAAATAGTTTAGTATTTTTGTACATATCTCTATCCTAATCAAAATATAATTGTTACATGTAATAATCCTCAGTAGCCTAATGTCAGATGAGTTGTAAACAAGAAGCATAACAGATTGCTTTAATGTTTCTATTTTTACAATGGCTTGATTTTTTTCTTTTTTTTTTTTTTTATTTCACAGACTCGCACAAAAACTTGTAAGTGCAGACCATTGTAAAAAATTTTACAGAGATTTTTGAATCACAGCAGTAACACAACAAACCTGAGGAATACATAAGAGACAGGAAAGAGGAAGATGTGGATCTTCTTTAAACAAAATCAGAATGTGATAATGATCAATGAGAAAGAGGTTGCTTTCTCAGGGGTTCTTAATATTTTTACAAAATTTACAATATTTCTGTCTTCTCCTATGACCCCCAAGCCATAAACAGACACAGAAATAGTGGTACTTTGTCTGTTAGCCATTCTAGTATTTAAAAGAGCGTGCACACAGTGACTTTGATGGTGGTCTTTTACTTTTGTTTAGGACATTTACCCTTTTATTAAAATAGCTTCTTAATCATTTCAACAATTAGCAATTTAGTTTGCCAATCTCAATTTTCAGTATTTTAAGAAGAAATATGAGTTATTCCATGGATTCTACATATGCTGCAGCTCCAGTTTCAAACATTAAAGCCTCATGACTATTTGCAAATGAGTAGTATTAACATTTCTTTAGATTTTGAATAAATTTTTCACTCATGCCTAAATTTTTGCCTTCTTTTATTCTGATAGAGTATGTTAATTAAAAAAACCTCACACACCCAACAATCAATATTAGCAACTGAATCTCTCAAAAAATAATCCAAGTTTTTGATAGTCACCCTATGGCATATACAGTATGTTTTTCCTGGATGTGATGGAAATTATATTATTTATTATTCATTCTGTCAGTAACACAATTTTCTGGAGAAAAATCTACAATCTGTTCTGTGTAATGGTTTGACATTTCTCCTCTTACTCAAATACTGCAGGTAAATATTTGAGTTTTATATTAATATTTCTATAAAGAAAATGTGTGAAGTACATCACATTTCTAACAGAGGAACAGACCACAACATTTGACAGTTTGAGCACACTCGAGCTGTCTTCGAGTTCAAACAAAAGGATTTTCCTCCTTTGCTACCTTACATAGGATTCGGAGGTGCGATATATAAACACGCTTGAGTGTACAAAAATGTTGTATCAAAGACCTTGCCTTCTCTCTCAAACCTGTAAAAGGCTTCAACTGTACATGAGACTTTTACTGGTTTAGCACAGGAGTAGCAGGCAGTTATTTATACATTAGTTCTGGATAGTTTTCGATTACCACAGTGTCCCCAGACTAATATGGTTGAAAAATCGCAATCAATGAGTTGTCATATACTGGCAAAATGCCACTCTGTGATATGACCTTTACTCACATGGCAGCTATTTAGTAATAATAAAAAAAAATGCTTTATTTTTGAATAATAGTTTGGTTGGTTTTTTCCCCGCTCTGGACACAAAAACATCACTTACAGTGAAAATCTGTAACTCGGAGTTGGAAACTACAGTTGGTGCAGCTCTTACCAAAACACTGGAAAAGGCACAGTCCCAACCCCTCAGCAGTGCTATCAAGAGGTTGGTTTTATCATCATCGTCTTTAAGGCTGTGGGAAAACTTAAGGGAGGTAGGAAGAAGGTGGTAAGGGAAAATGGGCCAAGCATATTTCTTCATTCAGATGGTGATTCAGTGTAATAGTGTTCATGGTCACAGTGATCACTTACGAACTTCAGAAGTTGAATACAATAGTCGAAAACGGATGCCTGACTAAACAACAGCTTTTTAGAAATGATGCTTTTAAACAGGAGTCCCATTACCTTGCATCAGCTCAGAGTTATTGTCTGTATCTTCTATCACGGAATGACAAAAAATATAATTAACAATTACTACTGAATACTGGCTTCTTAAATGAAGCAAAGAGCTTTGCTATGGAAGAGAGCATAACCAAACACAACAACAACCACCGAACCTGTGATTTTTCTTATTTATTTAAAAGTACTTAACCATGAATGACCCTCATTTAAAGAAAAGCCCTTGTGGTATACAAGTACGATGGCAGTCTGATGAACTACGTTAAAATAAAATTGCATTTATTTCCTGCCCCAGTGGTCTGACCTTACTAGCATTTAGATGTACCAGCACAAAAGACGCCTACTCCTAAAAGCAGTGCGA